TCATGTCACAGCTCTGTGTGAAGATTCCAATAGCTTCCACCTTGCCTAGCCTCTCTTGTTAATGGATGTGGAAGAGCTTTCTTGTGTTATTGATGCAGCCACTCAATAATGCTGGAGGAGCTTGGGGATGTGTTTGGTTTCCATCCATTCAGTGAGCAGCTCTCTATTGTTAGTCCTCTGCACTGGCCACCAGACAATGCCATTTCCCTTATCAGGCATAATGAATGTTGCTCCTAATGATTAACTTCTGATCTATGTGAAAGTGTTCAGTTGTCAAGAACAGATTTCCTTTGTAACTGCATAGACACTAAATGATGCTTTGAGACACCATTTGGATTCTGCCAGGTTTGATGTTCTATGAAACATGATGAAACTGGAACTGTTTGAGTACATGACAGTTCTCTCCTGTTGAGTTTTGCGTTATTCTCAGGTAATGATATAATATTTTGATGCTCCCTAATCGATCAGATTGTAAAACCTATCAGAACAAGACCAGCAATCAACAAGAGTTTCTATAAAAATGTATTTACTGAGCCAGATGAAAGTTCTAGACAGATTCTATGACATGAGTTGTGAACACTGACACAGATTAGGAGGCAAAAAATATTGGACCTTTGGTAATGCATCTGATTTTAGAAAGCTTCTGCACACCCTGTGCCCAGTTCTAATTCATCTGAAATGAGTGGTGAAATTGTGGATTAATGAATGGAAGATAAATCAAGCATGGAGGAAATTTGGATGCTCCTAATAAACTTTCCTGCTCTGCTGGGGCAGCTGAATATTTCTAAGGATGCCTACTCAGCATACATTTGAGTGGAATGAATTTCCTTATTGTAAAGCAAGACAAGCTTATAATTTAGGAAGATAAATAGTTACTGACTACTGCTGGTACTGGGGAGTTAAACTTACTCTGAACCAAAAATCAGCTTGAACTATTTTTTTTTTAACTTTTCTTGAACCAGAACTGAACTTGAATATTATTTTGAAGTTTAACTGAATTTCATGCTGGAAGTGAACAAGAACAGCTTCAGTCAGAGTTGAATGTGAGCTAAGCTTAAAAACTGAATTGCTTGACTCCTGGTGAGACACTGAAGGCTGTTCCCCCAGCTGCTGACAGGACTGAGCAGGAGGAGAATAGGTTCGAGGAGCAGGATGTTTTCATGTATTCTTAGGGAGCATGGATCAAGAGACATAACACACTAGTTAATCATCACTGCAAATGTTAAAGCCATTTCCTTCCCCACAGGTCCCCAAAGCAGGACTCTCATATTGTAAGAATAACAAATATAAACCAGCACTATACAGCAGTGACTGCCCTGAAAAGGCTTCAGAAATTTCTCCTGCCTCTCAGTGGAACTTAATGCCTTGCTGCCTCTTTATATAGAGGAGTTTTATTTCTTCAGCTAGTTTAGCAGTCATTTATGGAGCTCTGAACTGAACAGATTGTGTGATCATGTAACAATACATACATATATACATGTATCCATAGTGAAGCCCTTGTTATATTATTCAGAGCAGAACAAAGGCATGAGTTCATCATTCAAATAGCCAAACAAACATGAAAGCTCAGGCAATTAGAAGCTGTTTTCCTGAACAGCACTGTTTTGAACAGTCAGGTCAATATAGTCAACTTCTACCACCAATTCTAAATTATTATATTCTACCTAATGAAAGTGGTGACACAATAGATTCTGGACTTTATTCTCCACCAAGTAGCTCTCTTGGCCCCTGATTCTATTCACTGCCACTGATTTTGACTACTGGATGGAGTGGGAACAACGTCTTTCAAAAAAAACCCCAAGTTATCACTACAGAGAAGGTGACAAGATGAGGTAGAGCAAATGTTTTCATGGCTGAGGTTTGTTATTTTATAAAAGTAAGATCTTCTTCCCACTCTTTATTAAGGCTTCATCAACCTCCCCAGTGCTGAAAATGTTTTCAACTAAGGTGGGTGTTACACACTGGGGAGCTGAGAGTAAGGGAAAGAAATGCTGGTAGGTGATGAGATAGCTACATCCACTGCTAGCACATTTAGTGGATGCTGAAGGACTCACACAAACTGGCAATTTCCTGTGGTTTGCAGAGGGAAAGAGGAAGACTGTGTGGCCCACAGTGTGATTTCAGTAAGTTGTCTGTCTTTAGGGAAGAAACAAACCTCTTGCTTTATATTCCAATTCCTTTTATGTCACTTTAAAAAACTGACATTAGCTAAATAAGCTTCTGGCCTATTTCTAATCATTGTTCTCTGTTATGTATACTTAATCCAACAGACACTTTCCCCATTAATTCAGTTTCTCTTTTTATATTTTAGTCAGTCCTGTGCTTTATTGCTTCCACGCTGACTAAAGTGCCTCTCCAATTTTCAAGTCAATGCATTTATTGTTTCTGTCAACAGCTGAGTACTGAAGGTGTACACAATTCTTGGTAAGGCTTCATGTATTTCTTTATACTTCTTACCATTCCAGAGGTATGTGGTTGGACGATGGATGTTTTGTTGTTCTCTCAAAATTCTGTGTACGCAAACAGTTAACTCCCAGCAGTTGTGGGAAAGAGATGTTACTTACACGAAAGACATTTTAGCCAAAAGGTGGCACTGCGGCTGCATAGATTTTGCAGCAGATGAACAGTCTCGTAAAATGCAAGGAGCCACGCAATACATTTATTTAAACTCCTCTTTTCATACAGTGTGAATGGAAAGTATTGAAAACTGGCTAATTAATTCCCAAACACTTAGCATAATACCAATGCTTTCTGAAGTAAAGAATTTGGTAACTCTGCTATAAAGATAACAAATATTTCATCCTGGCTTTAGTGAATTTGAAAACCTCAAAATCAAAACAAAAACAACAAAACAAAACAAAAACCCCCAAACCCAATCAATACCTGAAAATGTGTTGCCAAATTGCACAGAATGTTTCAGCTGTGCATGTATCCTACACTACTATTAACTGCTGCTTTGTAGCCTTTAAGGCAAGGAGAACTTCCTTGGGAACTTAAATTTTTTAAGATGGGTCCTGTGGTCTTAAAACAATGCTGGGATTGACTTTACCACAGGCTGATCAGACACTTGAGAAGATTAAGTACATACTGATCCTAGTGTTCTGCCACCTACAGACACCATCACTAGATGTATTCACAAAGATTGATGTGCATGGAAACCTGTGCCAGGAGACTGAGAATCACATATCTAGGTTTGGTTCGTGGTCGAGATGCATGAGTGAGCCATGCTGGGTCTGGATGTGGGGAAGGAGGGAGAAACCACCACAGGCTGTGCCCTGACACCAAGGTGTCACATTCATCCTGCTAGGATGGGGCTTCCTTACAATCCCTGCTAAGACAGATAGAGGTTACATTTTAACTCCACACACTGCCTGCGAGCTGACTGTACCTCCTCAAGGAGGCTTTGGCTCTGGTGATAGGGTTCCTTTTATCAGACTCATTAGGTACATGAAATTGTCTGTACCTGATTTTTCTTAACTTTCCTGAGAATCTTCATATATGTAAGTCTAGAGTTTTTACTTTTCAAATATAGTTGTATCAGATTCTGTTAGCACGTTACATAATATTTAAATATCCAAATAATTGTCATTATTCATAAAACAAAAGTCAGATATCTGCATGGCTCAACACTTGTCATTTGAACCTCCCAAATGCATAGTTTTAATTTTTTTTCTTTAAAAGACCCTTTGTATTTTCCTGTGAGTCATGTTCATATTTGCAATCATTTTTTGTCTGCAAGAAGGATATGAAAATACTTTTTTTCAGAAAGCACAGGAAAGCAAAATATACTTAAGTAATTATAAGGGGGTACAAAAACCCCAAAACAAACATTCAAACAAGACTTCAAGAGCAAAATTTAGGACTCTTTATATTTGAAGTAAGACTGGATGAGGTCCTTCACCAGGAGGAAGGACTGAGAAATTATGTCAAGGACCACAGGGTCACTGCTCCTGCTTTCTCTGACCCCAGAGTGAAGTTACCTAAAGCACTGCCCCCCCCCAGAAGAGTATGTTCAATCAAAACTACTCTCATGTAAGTGTGAGACATTGCAATACCTTGCCAAAAATGAAAAACATTTTTACTTGTATTGATAACAACATTAATAACTTTCTATTTTGCAGCATTGCTATTTCAGCCCCACCTGTGAGGTTCATTCAGTACACGCACAGGGACACACCAGCTGGGCCTTGAAGCGGTCCCTTTAAACCCCCAGCATTTTCTAACCAGCACCGTATTTTAAAGGGTAAAAAGCTTTCCAGAAAAGTCAAATACATTCCAGCCACCGGAGATATTTATTTTCCAGGCGACAATTTTCTTGTGGACCTAAATGTTCTGCTGAAAGGGGAGGGGGAAGGGGGGTGGGGGGAGAAGGAGGAGGGGCAGAAAGTGAACAGATTAAAGAATCAAAAAAATAAAGAAAAAAAATCAAGAAAAAACCTGTTTAAAAAAATAAAGAAAAAACCTGTTAGCAACAAAAATTTAAACAAAAAAAATAGTGAATTAAAAAAAAAAAACCCCAAACTGTTAACACCTCTCCCCAAACCAACACGTAAAGAAGCGTTAGGGAAAACCGGCGGAGTTTTCAGCGCAGAGCGGGCGCGGGCGCGGCGGCAGGACGGTCCCGGCGGAGGGGCGCGCAGGCGGGGCGGGAGGCGCGGAGCGGGGGGGGGCGGGCGCGGGGCAATTCCCTGGGCGGCGCGGGCGCTCCGGGGGTGCCGCCGCCGGGCCCGCGCCGCCGGGCGAGCGGGGGAGGGCGGTGGGGGGAGCCCCGAAGGGGCGGGCGTGTGCGTGCTCCGGGCCGGGGGTGCGGCGCGGCGCTGCTTGCATGGGCTGCCGCCGGGATGCGGCGGGAGGCGTGAGGCGGCGCGGCTGAGGCGAGGAGGGGACGGGCGATGCTCCGCCGCCGCGGCGGCTCCGCTCACGGGCGGCCCTAGGAGCGGCGGTGGCGCGCAGAGAGGGACGGCTCTCCGGCCGGCCGGCCGCGACCCCCGCCCGCCGCGATGGCCAGCGAGGTGGTGTGCGGGCTCACCTTCCGCCTGCTCCTGCCCGTGTGCTTGACTGCCGGTACGTCCCTCCCTCCCTCCTTCCGTGGGTCCCCGGGCGGGTGCGCGTCCCGGGGCCGTGGGACCGCCGTCGCTGCCCGCCGGCGGCTTGGGGGACGCTTCGCTCTCCTTCCTCGTGGCATCTCCCCCCTTCCGCTATTTCTCCAAGCAGCTTTAAACTTTGTAACTCGCCCCTAATTTCTTACGTATTTGTTGTTGCTATTAATTTTTGTCGCCGTTGGTGTCCACCCCGGGGTGCGGGGCTCGCACGTGTGGCGGGGCTCTGCTGGCGGCCGCGGCAGCGGCGTGCGGGGCTCCGCGGCTTTTCGGTCGGAACAGCTGCTTTCCGAGTCCCGCGTCGTCCCGCATCCTCGGGCAAGGCGTAGGAGAGCGGAGGATTCAGGGTTTGCCCTCCGGGCAGGCTGATTCTGCCGCCGTGTTAGGGTTTGGGGGGTACTTTGTAAAGGGAAGAGTGAGTCTTTCAGAATGAACAGTTCTCAAATTTACGGAGGTTTTCAGGAGTTAGATTTTCTTTGCTTCGAGAGACAGAAATTTCAGTCTATTAAATCTCGTTACTTAGCAGGCAGCCATCCAATAAACTAAATTTTTTTTTGAATGGAGAGCTGCGGTGTCCAGCCATAGGTGAATATGTTAATATTAATCCGTGCCCTCCGCACAATTTGGAAAAACGCTCCAGAAGTCCCGGTTGCCCGTTAGATCGCAGGACGATGGGCTGGCCTCGAAAGCCGCGGCTGCGGAGGGCAGCTCGTGGGGGCTGGTGCCCGCCGGCGCGGTGGGGGGGTGTGGGACGGGAGATGGGGAAAGGGGTCGGGAATGGCACGGCGCGGAGAGAAACCCGTCGATGGTCAGCCCCGCGTCGCGCATCCTCCGCGGGCGGTGGAGCGGTGCCGGCCGTACCTTGCGCGGCAGCCGCGGGGCTCCCGGGCCGGTCCCGGGCCGCCGCCAGCCCCTTCCCGGCCGCACGGAGCGGGCGCCGAACGCCGGGGCTGCCCGGAGCGACTCCCGCTCTCCGTGCGGCCTCGCCGTCCTTCCAGGGCCGCCCTGCCCAGCGGAGCCCGAAAAGCGCATCCTTCCCGGGGCTTTGCCCTTGACTAACCCCATGGTGGCCCGGCCAGCGCCTCTCTATTTCCACATCTTTTCCTCCACCCTGCCTGGGAACTACCCGACACTGGTTCCAGGTGCCCTCCCCTGCCTGACTTCTCCGGGAAGGAGGACGCTGATCCCATCCTCAGCCCCGCTGGAGGCATGCGGGACCCAGGGCGCTCCCTGGTGCCTCGCGGTGTGCAGCCCTCTTGATTTCTCGGTCTGCCCGTGAAAATGCACTTTCTCCCCCGTCCCTTTGCCTGAGGCCGTGTGGTGGGTGTTAGCACGGTTGTATGAGGCATGAGATGAAGGTAGCTTTTCAGACCACCACCAGCATCTGCAGCCGATTTCTGCTCCTTCTGGAGCCCGTGGCCTTCCCGCAGGTGCCCAGCCTTAGGCTTGGGTGGCCACCACTGGTGCTGGGAAGGTCACAGTTCTATTGATCCATGGCAGCAGATGAGGGGCTTTAAGGCTGTCCCAGTGCAACCAGGTGTCTGTGCCTTGGTGGCTGGAGTGCAGAAACGCGCTGCGTGCGGAGGAGCTGGGTGGTAATGTGTGGGGCAGGTGGTGGGATGCCTTCAAAGCCGAGGGGTGGGGGTGTCAGGCGGGTCTTTCAATGCCAGTGTTAATCATAGAGCTAACTCCCTGTTAGTAATCAGCTGGGCTCCATATTTTCTTTAAATTTATGAAAGATCATTGAAGTATGAGGATGAACTTACTGGGACATGGAGCAAAGAAAAGATTCTATAAAAATGGTGTTTAGGTGAATTTTTAAAGTGTTATTCAAATAATATAATAGGTTAGATTGTCGTACATTAAAATAGGAGGGGTATTATTCTGTCAAGTGCTCAGACTCTTTCTGTACCAAAACAAGTTCAGATAAAATGGTTTTGATGTCCGTATTCCCGATATTTAGTAATGCAGAAGTACTTTCGCATTGCAGTAATACTTCCACAGATGAGAACTGATGTTGTCATGAATTGCTTATGCTCGTAAATCTTACTTATCTGAGGATTAATTGAAATATAAAACCTGAACGAGGCACTTCCCATTTTCAGTATGAAAAAGAAATCCCACTGTGAAACTTTCGAGTTTGGACCTAGTGATCTTGTTCAGTTGGATTTGAGAGAGGAATTAGTAAGTGGACAAACAGCTTTTCTCTTACTTTAGTTTACCGTGTTCTGTAGGTGTTATTTTTTTCCACTTTACAAACTCTTAGCAGAGCCCTTACTGGAGTGAAGCACAGTTCAGCTGGCTTCACTCTTGCACTTACCTTGCGTCTGCACCTGAGTTATCCCTGAGCCAGTGCTCTCTTCCTTTCCAAAGCATCAAGGAAGTGTTTCATGGGCTTCTGGAAAAGACTTTTTAGAGTGATGGTTGTTTGTATGACTTAGGGTGAGGTTACATCCGCAGCTGAAAAGCTGCCGCAAGGACTCACTGCGAGACTGATGCTCTTGTGTCTCCTGCCCCTGTCTGGGCAGTGAATGTGTCTGGCACTGCCAAAAGGCTGGAAATACAGAGTGGTTCTTTTGGTTCAGAATCCCTTGTGTGTGATTTTAAAATGCTCAATTAGTACAATTTCTTAGCATGGTGCAATTTGCTTTTTTGTTACCAAGGCTAGGAAGTAATGAGGTTGGAGAGCCCTGACCAGGTGTATGGAGGGCAATGGCAGCTGTGGCAAACTCATTCAAAATAATACATCTGCTAAGATGAAAACAGATTCTTTAAATACTGTTAAAATGGTTAATGCTTTAAGTATTAATACCTTAAATACCTTACTTTACATGCTTAAAATAAATACGAATGCTAGTTTGCATTTATGAAAAAATATCAGTTTGCTGGGATGAAATGCTTTCCAAGCACTGATCAGTACCACATATCTGAGAAAACACAATTCCTTGTAAGAATTTTTAAGATCAGATCTGTAGCACTGAATAGTCTAATCTTGTGCAGGTAAGCCTAGATGTTTCCATTTAAAGCTCAAGAATGAATGGGTCTTGAGTGTCTGATGAAGACAGGAAACTTAACATGCACAAAATGAAAGGCTTTGGAGATTGAAAAGGTTATTGTAGGCTTATGACTTCAAGGTTGATCCTGTCATGTTGTTTTCATGATAAAATCTTGTGTTCAGTCCAATGTGATCCTAATAGTAACTTAATGTGAAACTTACTGCAAATAGTGTGTTCTGTAATAAGACTGAGAGAGTTGGCTACTTGATTGGATTTTTTTTTTTAGTGTGATTACTACAATGTGGTATCTTTTCTGTACTGTAATAGTACCACGCTGAAAAAACAAATAACAAAATAGAGGAGAGGGAACTTTTGGCACTGGTGGTGGAAAGTGGGCTTTACATATTTTCTCTTTAAAAGCTTGAGCCTTGATGTGAACCTGTCTTTTTTTTTTTTTTTTGTTACTCACATGTACTTGGAAAATGTAAGAAGTGATTTTTTGTGTTTAAGTAAGGCATCAGAGCAATCTTTTGGTAATTGCTTTCTTTGGTTTATAGAGACTTGAACCACAAAGCTGGCTTACTTGACAACAGTTTTTAATTATACTGCTTCTAATTGTTTTTGCTCAGATACAATTAATTAGTTTTTTCTTAAGCAAAATATGGTTATTTTCAAGTGGGGTGCTGGGGAAAAAATGCTTAGGACATTTTTCTAGTGTGTCTCTGGGTTTTGACTGATGCTGTTGGATTGTGTGTTATCAGTAAATGGGCTTCAGTGAGGTAGTTACCTGGGCCAAGTGCTTCCCAGAAGTTACACTTGCCTTCCTGGATGATTGAATTTTGACCCAGATGACTAAGAGTTGTAGAAGCTTCTAGAAAGTTTTGAGTTTTCTGAGAGGTTGAGTGAAGGTATCTGTTTTGAAAGCAATGGCAGGTAAAAATAAAATACTTCAAAATTTGGTGACAGAGTTCAGATATTATTTAGAAATTTTCACGACTGTCTTTGAGCGAAATACTTAAACTCCTGATAAATAGCAGGAATTATTTTTCTTAATTTAATTATTTTATTTGTCTTTTCAGCAACTAGTACTCATAGAATAATACTGAATGAATCAGAATTAGCATCTCTTCAGGATATGAACAATATGTTACAGAGAACATTTCTTTAATCATTACAGTATTTTCAAAAATACATATATTCATCTGCTGGAAATGCCTCAGTGGGAGTGAGGTCTGTGTTCTGCTTCAGAAGGAAAAGGTAGAGTCCAGGATGCTTGGGTGATCTTTTATCCCCAAATTAACAAACATTGATGAAAATTTGGAAGGGGAAATATCTGAATTACTGCATTACCAGGTACGAAAATGCTTCTTAAATTACACGTTTCAAGTGTATTTTGGAATCTGATACCTCCCTGTGTGTTTTGCTGCTTTGAATTACTGCTACTCACATTTGCTATGAGAGAATAAATTGGACAGCTGTATTACTAAGGCAAGCCTGTGGAGGCAGTCAGCCACACTGTGCTTGGATTATTATTTATTTTGTGCTTTTCACTGATTTCACTGGATGTGGCTGTTGAATAAATTATCATAGAATACAATATTTTGTCGCAGTTTTCAGGTGACTGGATTATTTTTATGTGCATGTCTGTGGGTGATGCTATGGTGATGACATAGCAAGTTGTGATGCAGGACTGTTCAGACTAGAGGACAGTTTGTGTAGGGGCATTGTATGTGACTATGTATGCATGCATATCAAAAAACTTTGATATAATTTTAAAGTTGAAATAAACTTCCTGTAGACGGGGAAAGTCAGGCTTATTGTGCTCTAAACCTGGTCAGTTACTGAAAAGAAGACAAAGATCAGACTGGTGGGATTTTTTTTGTCATAATGCTGACATTTGGGAATATTTATTATGATGTACCGAAATAATGACGGACCAGCATGATAAAAACACGCATAGATTTCCCAT